GCACTAGTTTATTCATTTAATTCGTTTATCCACACAGTGTGGCCACTTTATGCGTATTTAACATTATTGTATTATACACATCGAGTTTTTATGTGAAGCGCTTCACCAATATTGTTTATTTATGTTATACATCCTGAGGTATTGGGAATAGGTGGTAGCAGCTTGCATTAATCTAGGGTTTTGTCTATTTATACACAGTCCACCACCCCCTCCTCCTCAAAAAACTACACTCCCTCGGCCTCAGAGATTCTGCTCTCTCCTGGCTCTCATCCTACCTGTCACAACGCTCTTTCAGTGTTACCTATAACGCTACCACCTCCCCCTCACTCCCCCTCTCTGTTGGGGTCCCTCAAGGCTCCGTCCTCGGGCCCCTTCTCTTCTCCATCTACACCTCCTCCCTTGGCCAACTCATACACTCTCACGGCTTCAACTACCACCTCTATGCTGATGACACACAAATCTATCTCTCAACCCCCACCTCACCCCCTCGGTCTCCGCCCGAATCACACACCTGCTGATCAGATTGGATGTCGCTCCACTTCTTTAAACTGAACCTCTCCAAAACCGAGTTTTTTGTCTTCCCCCCAGCGCCCCCCCCCCCCCCCCCCCCATTGACTTCTCCATCACATCCAACAATGCCACCATCAAACCCGCCCCACAGGCCAGAGTACTTTGTGTCATTCTGGACTCCAAACTATCCTTCCAGCCCCAAGTCCAATCTTTAACAAACTCGTGCCGCCTCCACCTCCGCAATATCGCCAAAATCCGCACGTTCCTAACCCCAGAAACCACTAAACAGCTCATCCACTCCCTCATCATATCACGACTCGACTACTGCAACTCCCTCCTCACTGGCCTGCCTCGCCGCTGGCTATCCCCGCTTCAGTCCATCCTGAATACAGCTGCCAGACTCATTCACCTTTCCAACCGCTCCGTTTCCGCCACCCCCCTCTGCCAATCCCTCCACTGGCTTCCACTCAGTGTCCTCCACCCCCCTCTGCCAATCCCTCCACTGGCTTCCGATTGCGCAACGGATCAAATTCAAAATCCTAACACTGACGTACAAAGCCGTCCACCATACTGCCCCGAACTACATCACTGACCTAATATCCAAGTACCACCCAACACGCACACTCCGCTCCTCACAAGACCTCCTTCTCTTTAGTTCCCTGGTCTCCTCCTCCCATGCCCGCCTCCAGGACTTCTCCAGGGTGTCACCCATCCTCTGGAACTCCCTGCCCCAACCCATCAGATTATCACCTACTCTCCTCTCCTTTAGGCGCACCCTGAAAACCCACCTCTTCAGGGAAGCCTACCTCACCCCCTGCTAACCTGCCAACCTCCTCCACTCTTCCTACCACTCCATCCCCCACAGCTATCTCCTCCTGTGCCACCATCCCCTCCCTCCTAGATTGTAAGCTCGAAAGAGCAGGGCCCTCGAACCCCTCATGTTGTGCATTGTATTGTATTGTTATTGTTCTGTCCCACTTTGTAATGTACAGCGCTGAGCGAACTATTGGCGCTTTATAAATACTGTATAATAATAATAATATGTATTGTGAGCCCTTGGCATGATCAATATCACCACCTCAGAGAGACCATGCTCTCCCAGTGCCTTGGCTTCAAAAGCCATGCCATTATAGCCAGAGACTGAGAAGTAGGTAAAGGACTGAACCTTGAGAAAAAAAAAGTCTGGATGAGTCAAGAACAGCCACAGGACGTCTGTGACCAGATGACCTAGGTTGGAGTACTCTGCTCTTCTTGGCCAGTCTGGTTAGTTTTTTTTTTTAAGCCTGCTAAGGAAATACATACACACCTGTGAGTTTCGCCACACACACTTTCCTCTGCAGCCTCTTCCTTCTGCCCTCCATCTCTAGCACAATCTCCATCTGGTAGTCTCCAATTTCGGGATTAGAAAGATGAATATCTAAACTTTGCACATCACTATTACAGCCTCCAGGCCAGCAGAGAGCACCATCAGTGACGGAAAGCTGTTGAACGACCTTGGATGGGTTAATGACTTTCCCTTCCACAACCTTGGCTTCACTGGACTGCACTTTGAAAATGGACTTCCAGGGGAGGATTACAGACTTTGGGTTCTGTATATACACAATACCCGAAGAAGCACTAGAAGGACCTAAAAAAAAAAAAAGCAAACAAGCAAGCAACATGGTGAGGGAAGGGTAAAGATCAAAAACGTACTAAAAAGTCTCATTCCCATCAAAATGTATTGGAGGTGTTCATGAGGGTTTGATCCTCTGCCTAGTTTTTAATACTATCTGTGACTTTGGTGTGGAAATTACTTTGGCAGAGGATACCCCATTTCAGATTCTGAGACGTCAGCCAGGGCACTGCTTCAAGCTATATGTCCTAGCTCCCGTGTCTATAGTGCATTTGTTATCTATATCTATGGAGTATCCACTAGGGAGCCAGTGACACCAGTATCATGCTTCATCTAGTACAGTCAGTCTAAACCAAGATTCCATGGAACCCCAGATTTCTTTCAGAGGTTCCCAGGGGTACTCTGAACTGTAGCTGATTGACCTGTCATCTGATGAGAAATTCTGTTTCCAATGCCACTTGGCAGAGGAGATTCTTCCCACTGACCACCAATGTAAAGGGTGTTCTTCCCACTGACCCCCAATGTAAGGGGCATTCTTCCAACTGACCCCCAATGTAAGGGGCATTCTTCCCACTGACCACCAATGTAAGGGACATTCTTCCCACTGACCACCAATGTAAGGGACATTCTTCCCACTGATCACCAATGTAAGGGACATTCTTCCCACTAACCACCAATGTAAGGGACATTCTTCCCACTGACCCCCAATGTAAGGGACATTCTTCCCACTGACCCCCAATGTAAGGGACATTCTTCCCACTGACCACCAATGTAAGGGACATTCTTCCCACTGACCACCAATGTAAGGAGCATTCTTCCCACTGACCACCAATGTAAGGGACATTCTTCCAACTGACCCCCAATGTAAGGGGCATTCTTCCCACTGACCACCAATATAAGGGGCATTCTTCCCACTGATCACCAATGTAAGGGACATTCTTCCCACTGACCCCCAATGTAAGGGACATTCTTCCACTGACTGACCACCACCATGTAAGGGACATTCTTCCCACTGAAGGGACCACCAATGTAAGGGACATTCTTCCCACTGACCACCAATGTAAGGGGCATTCTTCCCACTGACCACCAATGTAAGGGGAATTGTTCCCACTTTTTCTTTATTAAAAGTCTTGCAATCATTAAACAAAATAATATACAGAATATACATAAATAAATAATTATATACATATTTACACAAAAACAAAAATAAATATAGCAAAATATGCTGTCAGTCAAAGCAAACCTCTCAGAAATGAAAAGACATAACTGGGGGAAATATAGCTTACTACTACTATCACTACACCAGACATCACACCTGAGAGGTCAAGAAACAACCCCGCCCCCATTACGCATGCAGTCCCTCTTCAAAAAGAAGATCTTAACCAACAAAAACTAAGGGAGTGAAAAGAACAGCATAAGAAAAGAACCCCTCACCCAGAGATGGACAGTTCACCAAAGGCAGGTCTGATATTCCTCCACGCCCTTATCCAGACAGCCCGAGGCTCCCTGCCCTTCTCAAGACCCTGAATCTTCCCAACCTCACCCAGAATATCGTGCACCACCACCTCAACAGGGAGGACTTTCATCCGCAGGGTAATCTGACACCGTGCATTCCATGTGAAGTAACAAACAACTATACTAACTAAAAAAAGTATATCCAAATCAAAGTCCCAGCGAGCTGGGAATGCCCCGTACACCCACTCTGCATAACTCATGTGATAGAGAAAGGGGATGCCCAGCGCCCTCCCCACCCTTTTATACACCTCTATGTTAAAGGGGCACTGGAGCAGAAAGTGGTCCATAGACTCCACTTTACCAACACACTCTGCTCTAGGACAATCCCGATCATCCACAGGGCGGTGCTTCAGGTTCCCTCTCACATAGAGCCTTCCATGGAAAGCGAGCCAGGCTTGATCCCTAAACGTCAAAGGGATTCTCTCCAGGTTAAACGCAATCCCTCCCTCATTACGGAGCCTGGGCAATCCTTTAAGGCCAGTGACACACTGAAAGCAGAAGCCAAAATCCTCTCCCCCAGAAGCATCCTGGGAAGGCACCTGATATCCTCCACTGTCACCTGCCACTGCCAAAGTATTTTCAGACATGGGGCAACATAAGCCGGGAGCTTGCCATGTCGGACTCTCAGACTTTTCACTGGGCCGCCATCTTCCCAGCAATGCAGAAATGCTTAAACCAAGACTGAAAAATACCCACCCATCCCGGCGGGGTCTCTGCTAACATATTACCAAGATTGTACTTTAAAAAGAGCAAAGAAAAGAAAAACTATCGGGTTGACCATTCCTAGGCCACCCTCCCACCTGCACAGATAAGTTACATTGCGTTTGATCAAGTTCAGCCTATTTCCCCATAACAGTTGGAAAAAACAGCTGTAGACCCTTGCATAGAGATACCGGCAAGATACAGACGAAGCTGACTTATAAAAAGATCGGGATCAGGTAAGGTTTGATAAAGTCAACCCTCTCCCTCAAGGAAAACCTCCATCTCTTCCAGCTCGCCACTTTGGATTTGGCATCTACCAACCTGCTTTCCCAATTTCGATGATCATAGTCACCAGGACCAAATTTGATGCCAAAAATTTCCTGCTTGGGTTGCAGGAAGGCATCCGGAAGTTAGAAGCTTTCACCCTCCTCACCCATCCAGAAAACTTCAATTCTTTTCATGGTTGACTTTAGAGCCAGAAGCCTCTGTGTACTGCTCTATCATAAAGACCTCCTCCTGCGACTCCTCAGTCCCAGAGATAATAACAGACACATCATCAGCATAGGCCACGGCCTTCAAAGGCGGCGCACCAGCAATGCCCAGAGGCACCCCGCACAACGATGCACCCTCTAGCCTTTTTACAAAAGGGTCGATTGTGAAATCATATAGCAGGAGGCTTAAAAGGACATCCCTGGCGCACACCAGAGCCGACCTCAAAAGGCCGCCCAACCCAACCATTAACAAGTGGGAAGCTCTCAGCCCCTTTATATAATGTCTTCAGCCAATCTATAAACCTTCCCTGCAGGCTGTGTCTACCAAGTAGCAACCACAGATATTCATGATTCACTCGATCAAAAGCTTTTGCCTGATCCAATGCCAGCAAGTACTTTCTCCATCCAGAAGCCCTGCATCGTTCCAAAGCCTTCCAGATAGCCAAAACTGCTGAGAAATCGCCTGCTACTGACGACAAGTGCCACAAAAGAATCTTTGCCAAGATCTTTCTATCAACATTGAGAAGACTGATGGGGCGCCAGTTCCCAAGCATTGGGGGGGTCTTTACCTTTTGACAGAAGAATCCCAGAGGATGGCCTCATGGAGGGAGGGAGCGAACCCTCTTCTAGACATATGTTAAAAACCTTCGCTAAATAGGGAGCCAGAATGGACTTAAAATACTTGTAAAATTCAGCTGTCAATCCATCTGGTCCAGGCGATTTTTTGGTAGCCAGCTTGTCTATAGCACGAACCACCTCATCCACTGAAATTGGTTCTGTCAAATTCATCAAAAGCAATGTACCATTTCCCAATCCTGGAGTAGAATCCAGAAAGCTTTCCATCCTGTCCCAGCTAAGGTCCTTTCTTCCCAGGAGGTCTGCATAATACGACCCAAAGATCTCCAAGATCCCTGATCTGGACTTTATCAGGGAACCCGTACTGTCTTTCAGGCCAATGACCGTCTTAACTGCTATGCCTTCCTTACAGTTCTGGTAAGGATCAGGCGAGTGATATTGCCCATAATCCCTCTCCAGAACCAAGGAGGCACGGCTATCGCATTGACACTTCCTAAGAAGAAGCTTCACTTCAGAAATCTCCCCTGGATCTCCTCCATAGGAGACAAGACGATCAAGCTTCCTCTGCAAATGCTGGTAGGCCATATACATACCAAGCTGCTTCTTCTTACTTATGGCCTTGAAAAGTCCAATCGCCCTTTGTTTCACAAGCTCCCACCACTCTGACTTACTGCTGCAAAAGTCCAGAATAGAAAACACAGCATTTTTGCTTACACATGACTGGATGAAAGAAATCAGCAGAGCTTCGCCTCATTTTAGAGCTTCCCCTCCGATATAACGCAACAGACTATTTGCCTTTAGTAAATCAACGCCTTTATGTGAATGGACACAGGGGATAACACGGAGGGCCGTTTGAAATCGGTAAAAAAAAAAACAACCGCCTGATGCCCCTAAAAGTGGCTGCCAAAAACGCCCTGTGTGCATCAGGACTAAATAGTGTATGTTGATATTGTGCAGTCTTCTATCCACCCAATAGAGGGCGCTTTAGCCTCAATTTGGGAGGCATTGTAGCATTGTCAGCTGTTCTGCAAGACGGAGCCCAATACTTAGAAACTCTGATTTACGAAAGTCGTAAGGACTGTTCACCTAGAGAAGTCAACTTCCAGCCTGTATTCACTTTAAAATTAGAAACCAGGGAAAATACAAGAAAACAGTTTGAACGAAGCAGTGACGGCCAGTGAAGGCCAGTGACGGCCAGTGATGGCTAGTGACAGCCAATGATGGCCAGTAATGGCCAATGACGGCCAGTGATATATCTCGCCTTGACTATTGTAACTCCCTTCTCATTGGCCTACCTAATCACAGGCTATCCCCTCTTCAGTCTGTCATGAATGCTGCTGCCAGACTCATCCACCTTACTAACCATTCTGTATCAGCCATCCCTCTCTGCCAATCCCTCCACTGGCCTCCACTCAGTGTCCTCCACCCCTCTCTGCCAATCCCTCCACTGGCCTCCACTCAGTGTCCTCCACCCCTCTCTGCCAATCTGTCCACTGGCCTCCACTCAGTGTCCTCCACCCCTCTCTGCCAATCCCTCCACTGGCCTCCACTCAGTGTCCTCCACCCTTCTCTGCCAATCCCTCTACTGGCCTCCACTCAGTGCCCTCCATCCCTCTCTGCCAATCCCTCCACTGGCCTCCACTCAATGTCCTCCATCCCTCTCTGCCAATCTCTCCACTGGCCTCCACTCAATGTCCTCCACCACTCTCTGCCAATCTCTCCACTGGCCTCCACTCAATGTCCTCCATCCCTCTCTGCCAATCCCTCTACTGGACTCCGCTCAGTGTCCTCCACCCCTCTCTGCCAATCCCTCCACTGGCTTCCCATTGCCCAACGAATAAAATTCAAAACATTAACAATAACGTGTAAAGCCATTTATAACTCCGCCCCAAATTACATCACCAATCTTGTCTCCAAATATCACCCAAATTGTCCTCTCCGATCCTCGCACGACCTCCTGCTCTCTAGCTCCCTTGTCTCCTCCTACCATGCTTGTCTCCAGGACTTCTCCAGAGCTTCCCCATCCTCTGGAACTCTCTACCCCAAATTTATCAGACTATCGCCTACTCTGCTCACTTTTAGGCAATCTCTGAAAACCTATCTCTTCAGGGAAGCCTATCCTGCCCTCAGCTAATAATGGAATCTTCTACTCCTCCTACCAGTCCATCCCCTACAGTTACTACCTATTGTACCACTAGCCCATCCCTTCTAGATTGTAAGCTCCAAGGATCAGGGCCCTCCTATCCCTCTTGTATTGAACTGTATTGTTGCTGTATTGTCTCCCGTTATATTGTAAAGTGCTGAGCAAACTGTTGGCACTATATAAATCCTGTATAATTATTATACAGTATTTATAAAGCGCCAATAGTTGGCTCAGCGCTGTACATTACAAAGGGGGACAGAACATGTGACAGAACAATACCAATACAATGCAAAACATGAGGGGATCGAGGGCCCTGCTCCTTGGAGCTTACAATCTAGGAGGGAGGGGATGGTGGCACAGGAGGAGATAGCTGTGGGGAATGGAGTGGTAGGAAGAGTGGAGTAGGTCGGCAGGTTAGCAGGGGGTGGGGTAGGCTTCCCTGAAGAGATGGGTTTTCAGGGTACGCCTAAAGGAGAGGAGAGTAGGTGATAATCTGATGGGTTGGGGCAGGGAGTTCCAGAGGATGGGTGACACCCTGGAGAAGTCCTGGAGGCGGGCATGGGAGGAGGAGACCAGGGAACTAGAGAGAAGGAGGTCTTGTGAGGAGCGGAGTGTGCGTGTTGGGTGGTAGTTGGATATTAGGTCGGTGATGTAATTTGGGGGAGTGTGGTGGACAGCTTTGTACGTCAGTGTTAGGATATTGAATTTGATCCGTTGCGCAATAATAATTTTTAATAATAATAATAATAATAAAAGTGATGACTAGCGACGGCCAGTGACGGCTAGTGACGGCCAATGACGGCCAGTGATGGCTAGTGACAGCCAGTGATGGCCAATGACAGCTAGTGATGGCCAGTGACGGCCAATGATGACCAGTGACAGCCAGTGACGGCTAATGATGACCAGTGACAGCTAATGATGGCCAGTAACGGCTAGTAACGGCCATTGACAGCTAGTGATGGCCAGTGACGGCCAATGATGACCAGTGATGGCTAATGATGACCAGTGACAGCTAATGATGGCCAGTAACGGCCATTGACAGCTAATGATGGCCAGTGAAGGCCAATGATGACCAGTGACTGCCAGTGATGGCTCCGTTCGAGGTTTCAATCAAAGGAGGCCTCAAAGCAAGCATTGTCTGCAGTGTTATCTCTTTAGCTAACCAGATAGACAGACGGAGATAAAAAATAATCGTTTCAAATGTAAGCGTGTTAAACATTCCATAAAGATCGCATCGTCATAGTCTTTCATTACCGAATACTTTGATCTGTGTGGAGATCTGGATTTCATTACCACCTTCCATCTTAATATGACACCAGTATTGACCACTGCTCTGCACATCCAAATCCTTTAACTCTACACTCGTTCCTCCTGCAAGATGCTCGTGGTCACCCTTCGTCCAACGGACCTGAAGACCCGGGACATTCTCTGGAGACAACGTCAGTTTCAGGTCCTCCGATGACATGAGGTTTTTGGAAGGTTTTGCTGACACTGCAGGGAAAAAAAAAATAATAAAACAAAAAGTTGCATCTGGGAACCACCCAAGTAGCGTGGTGGTGTTCACTGGCATGATGGGGAAGAAAGCTTTTGGCCTTGTCTTGTGTTGGGACTGAACTAGGCATGGTTGTCCTATGTGGACGGGCCCTTAAAACACATAGAAAGAATGTGTGGTTAACTATCTGTCTACGAGGAGAGAAAATGACCGGAAAGCTCTACGATGGGACATAGACAACCAAAAAAAAAAATGGATGGGGCCTTAACCTTTTTGTTTGGTGAAGATGGGGACCTCCACCAAACAAAGGGTATTGATATTACATATACTTTAAAATGATAAAGGATAACAGCGATTATGTGGAAGTTCCTGTAGCAGTGATAACATATACTGGACTAGTATGGACATCCCGTTCCACAACCATGGGCAGTAATATGGAGCGGGCATCGTAGGCAGCCTCCACCCCTCTGGGAAGGCTTCCCGCAGGATCTTGTGTTGGTCTGCGGCGGCTGATTCAGTCAAAAAGAGCATTTGTGAGGTTAGGTATGGATGTCGGATGCAGGGGTGGACTGGCAACTCATGCGGCCCCCGGGCAATAGGGGATCGTGGGGCCCCTGTGTCCTCACCCACACTCAAAACCACACCCAAAAAAGCCTATGAAAGGTTCCAGGGGCATCTCATGGGACCCCAGGCCCTTGGGCAGTGCCCGAGTGCTGGAATGGTCAATCCGCCCCTGGTCGGATGTGAGGAGCAGGTTCTCAATCAGTGTTCCAGTTCACCCCAAAAGGATGTTCATTAGGATTGAGGCAGTGGCGTATTTAGGTTTTGTGCTGCCCTAGGCAACACTAAATTGCACCCCCCCCCCCCCCCCCGGAGAGAGCCTGACGTTGACCATCAACACCCCTGCCCAACTGGGAGAACCTTCCACTACCATTGCCTCCATACACCGCGGCCACTCCCCTCCCAGCCAGAGAGAAACTCACCTTCACAGCTCTGGACATCCCCAGGAACGAGTGTCAAGAAGCCTGCAGCCTCTCTCAGATCCCACCTGCTCCCCAAGCCGCGTGTGTCCCCTCTTCCATCCCTTCCTCCATAGGAGCGCTGCTGCCCCCCTGAAAAATGCCGCCCTAGGCAAATGCCTTGTTTGCCTTGTGGTAAATACGCCCCTGGATTGAGGTCAGGGCTCTGTGAGTTCCTCCACACCAAACTGGTCAGACCAGATCTTTATTAGACATGTGCAGAACGAAAAAAAAATCTGTTGTTTCGATTCATTATGTTTCTCATTTTGTTTTGTTGAATTTGTTACAAAATTTGTTTTGTTTAATTTATTCATTTTTGACCAGAATTAAAATGTTTCCATTGGATTTGATTCGAATTAGAATCAAATCGATCTGAATTCGTCTGAATTTTGAAAGACAGTTATATTCCTGTTATTTTATTCTGTTCTATTCTAATCTAGTCTATATATTCTATTCCTTTATTTTCTATTCTATTCTTTTTTATTCTATTTTGTTATGTTTTATACTAATCTATTCTTTTCAAAATGTAAATTTCGGATGGCAGCTATATTCTTTTGATTCTATTATTTTCTATTCTTTTGTGCCCTTATTTTTCATTCTATTCTATTCTGTTCTGTTTTACTGTTCTATTCAAATGTATTATATTCCATTCAAATCTATTATTTCCTTTTATGTTTCTATAATGTTCCTTTCTATTATGTTTCCTTTATTTTTCTTCTATTTTATTCTATTCCTTTATTTTTTTTTTCTATTTTCTTCTATTCTTTTATTTTCTCTTTTTTTTCTGTTTCTTTTACTTTGTACTAAAATATTTTGTTTATTTATTTTTTTACTCCTTTTTTCTCCTCTATTTTATTCTATTCCTTTATTTTTTCTTCTATTTTTTCTATTCTTTTATTTTCTATTTTATTCTGTTCTCTTTTACTCTATACTAAAATATTAAAATCTATTCTACTCCTTTATTTTCTCTTCTATTTTATTCTATTCCTTTATTTTTTCTTCTATTCTTTTATTTTCTATTCTATTCTGTTATCTTTTACTCTATACTAAAATATTAAAATCTATTCTACTTTATTTTCTCCTCTATTTTATTCTTTTCCTTTATTTTCTCTATTTTATTCTACTCTTTTATTTTCTATTCTATTCTGTTTTACTCTATTCTATTCAAATCATATCAAAATCAGTTTTTACTCAAATGAGTTGATGCAAAAATGAATCCACCCCACAACAAAAACTCCTCCATCAAGAATTTGTATGACCTCCATGATTTGTAAGGACGGCACCGAGTCTTCTAGGCATGGGATGAACAAGTTGGGGACATACTGCAACATCGATCTCTTTCCATTCTTCAAGAACGACCTGTTTTAGATCCTGGATGCTGGATGGGGAGTGATGCACAACTTGTTACTTCAGAATTCCCCATAGATGTTCGGTTGGGTTCAGATCAGGAGACATACTTGGACACTGAATCACTGTCACCCGGTTCTTCTTCAGAATTGCAACAGTGGCCTTAGATGTGTGTTTTGGATCATTGTCATGCTGGAAAAGTGCACGATGACCAAGGGCACGGAGTGATGGGAGCATCTTCTCTTTCAAGAGCAGTACATCTGTGAATTAATGATGCCATCAATGAAATGAATGTCCCTGACACCAGCAGCACTCATGCAGCCCCACAGAAGGACACTGCCACCACCATGTTTCACAGTAGGCACCATGCATTTTTCTTTGTACTCCTCACCTTTGCGTCACCATACAGTTTTGAAGCCATCAGTTCCAATAACATTTATCTAGGTCTCATCATTCCAGAGTACAGAGTCCCAGTAGTCTTTCTTCTGTTTCAGCATGGGCCCTGGCAAATTCTAGGCAGGCTTTTTTGTGCATGGGCTTTAGGAGAGGCTTCCTTTGTAGACGACACCCATGCATGCCATTCCTCTGTACGCCGTATTGTGTCACGGGAAACAATCACCCCGGTTTGGCTTTCTACTTCTTTTGCTTACTGCAGTGAACTTACATGGCGATTTCTTCAACCTTTCTCATCAGAAGACGCTCCTGTCGAGGTGTTAACTTCCATGGATGGCCTGGATGTCTCTGTGAGATGGTTGCAGTTCCATCTTTGTTACATTTTTGTATCACTTTTGCTCCAGTGTTCTGACTGATAAGTAAAGCTTTGCTGATCTTCTAGTGGCCTTCACCTTTCTTGTGTAAAGAAATTATTTTCTTTCTCAGGCCTTGTGACATTTCGCTTCCATATGGTGCCATTGCTGGCAGCATGAAATGGGCGGGGTTTTCTTTGTTAAGTAACGCCCTTTTATAATCAGCTGTCTGCTGAACACCTGTTTAATGAATAATTAGACTCACCTGTAGCTGAATTCTTGTTAATTAGGATTTTGTTGTCTAACATTTAGCTCATTCATTGGGGTGTGTTCATTTTTGCAACATGGTCTTGAATGAATTTGTTAGGAAAAATACTTTTTTGTGTGCGCAAATGAACAAATCTTGTTTGCAATCAATGGTTGACATTTGTGGGAGGATTTTGTAGTATAGTGTCTCATAGAAAAAGTTGATTCTGAAAGGAAAGTGAAGGATTTCTGTCAAATCTGTTGGGGTGTACTTTTTTTATGCTGAGCGCTGTATTTTTAAAACCCAACCGTGTAAATTTCAACCTAGTGTCAGCTTCCTACAGTTCTAGTGCAGCAAACCACAGCGGTGGGGGGGGGGGGGGGGGGGGGGGAGAAGCAGCACACAAAGAGCCAATCAGATTTGCTACCGTGCTGATAGAAGTAGAGAGCAGAGAGAGCTGAGTTCACCAGCTCGCTGATTTTCCTTTCACTGCCTTTTAACAGGGTGGAGGTGGGGAGGAAACCTGTAAGTGAAAGTGAAACTGCAACACAGAAAGACCAGGTCTCCTCCTCGGACAGACAGGGCTGTGCTGTGTGGCGGAGCTGTGTAAATCTAAGTACTGGATAAACGGAAATGCAAAGCCTTTGGCAGGTAGTAAAACAAAAAAAAAATGTGTTTCACCTGTGGCTGTAGGCCTACAGTTCAGTTTAAATGTGATAAATACTGCAAATACTTGATTGCACCGCAGTGTAAGCCCCAATGTGTGGAGCCATAGCACTGGGCATATCACAGTTGGCATATATGCACTGATGTGTTTCCCAGGTAGAATTAGCAGCTCACCCATTGGTTGCAGTTACTCTTCAAAAAGGTAATGCTGTACTTACCTTCAAAGACTATGAGTTGCACTCTGCGAAGAATGGCCTTGTCTTTCTCGCAAGTGTAATTCCCTGAATCGCTGATCTGCACATTACTCACTTCCAGGTCATTTGTTGAATGAATGGTCATATACATTGAAACGGTTTGAATCTGCAAACACAGTTATCAACAGGTCAAAGATTTTTAAATATGGGGCTAAAATATATATATATATATATATATATATATATATATATAAAATTATATTTGTTGTTGTTGTTTTTATTATTATTTTTATTATTATTATTATTATTATTATTATATGTATAATATTGTTGTTATAATAAATATAATAATAATTATTATTATTATATGTATTATTATTACTGTCATTATTATTATTATATGTATTATTATTATTATTATTATTATGTATTATTATTGTCATTATATGTATATTATTGTTGTTATAATAAATATAATAATATAAATTATTATTATTATTATATGTATTATTATTATTATATTTATTTTTTTTTTTTTTTATTTATTTATTTTTAGGGTACGAGGTAGGTAGAAAACAACCAATTTTTCTACTATGTTAGTAGCAGAATACTTGAAGTGCAATGCCTCCCTTATCCTTTTTTGTCTTCTGTTTTCTTTTTTTTCTCATAAAAATAATCTGCTTTAAAATATTAGAATATCATAAGCAGAGGCGGACTGACAACTCATGGGGCCCCCTGGGCAATAGGGGATCATGGGGCCCCTGTGTCCTTGCCCAAACTCAAAAATGCCTATGAAAAAGGTACCAGGGGCATCTCATGGGGCCCCCTACTGACCCCGGGCCCTCGGGCAGTGCCTGAGTTTCCAAATGGTCAGTCCACCCCTGCCCTTGACTACAAACATAAACAGGAAACAGTTAACTCCATTATACAATTTGGGGATCTATTTGGGGTAATAGCGTCTTTCCAGATGCTGGAGGGTTTTGATCTTTTAGGGAATTTTCCCAAGAGCTTATTATATATTCATTTATGAAAATATATCATGCTAGCTGTACCAGCACATATTGTTCATTGGCTGTCTCATGGGGCCCCCTACTGACCCAGAGCCCTCGGGCAGTGCCCGAGTTTCCCAATGGTCAGTCCGCCCCTGATCATAAGTCATAAGGGTTCAACAACATGGCAGCTCAACAGTTTACAGCTATTAATCTTCCAGCACTAAGCTTCTGAGATCAGTTCCCACTAGGACCCCTATCTGCATGGAATTTAACATTTTTGGATTTTTTTGTATTTGTATTTTCAAAATCTTACAAACACACATAATAATTAAAACATATTTACATACTGTATATACAAAATACATTTTATATGTATATATTTATATACTGTATATCCACCTGCCGACCAGTCACTGATCTTCATAAGATTGTATCGGGGGGCATCATTCCGGACCGTTTTTTTTTAGAGTTGGCGGCCAGCTTTCTTGTAATAGTGATCAGAGCATCTAACCAGCCACTTGATTGCTATTACAAGCAGCAGGAGGGGACATCCCCCCGCGCCACCTTCCACGGCTTGCAGGGTAGCCATCAGAAATTTTGGGGCCCCTTACACAGCTTTAGGCCTGGGACCCCTTGGACCGGACCACCCACATTCCCCAGGGCCTGCCTACTGGCCATACCACTGAGTCTTTCAGTGAACCCACTTTTATTTAAACACCCTTACAACTTAATATATCCTGCATCCCATGTCCTCCTCCTCCTCTAGTCCCATCTCTTCCTTCTCTAATGCCATATTCTCCAGCTCACATCCTCCTCCTTCTCCACCAGTCCCATCTCCTCCATCCCATGTCTTCCTCCTCCTTCTCCAGTCCCATCTCCACCATCTCATGTCCTCCTCTTGCAGTCTCACCTACCCCATCCCATGTCCTCCTCTCTTCCTACAGTCTCATCTCCTCCATCTCACATCTTCCTTCTTCTGCAGTCCCATCTCCTCCATCTTATGTCCTCCTCTTCCTACAGTCCCATCTCCTCCATCCCATATCCTCCTCCTCCTCCTCCAGTCCCATCTCTTCCATCCCATGTGCTCCTCCTTCTCCCAGTCCTATCCCCCCCATCCCATCTCCTGCTCTTCCTGTTTCATCTGCCCCATCCCATGTCCTCCTCTAACAGTCTCATCTCCCCAACATATGTCCTCCTCCCTCCAGGCCTCCCCCATAACATGTCCTCCTCCATTCCATGTTATCCTCTTCCAGTCTCATCTCTTCACTATGTCAGTCCTCTCTTGCAGTGTTCCCCCTCTGTGGACCTTCTATCCCTCCTGCACCAGCAGTACAGCCCTGGTCTATGTGATATACTTCTGTGTACGGTCCATCCTCAGCCCAGGGGCTCACCTTGCTCTCTCCAGACACACAGCTCCCATCGATCACACCTCCATATTTAAACTTCCCACTGCTAATCTCTCATCCCGCTGTAACCTACTTCCCGTCTCAGCAAAGGGGACGGGTATGGATGGCTCACTAAGCGCCCACGATTGGACAAACTCGGGGGCCAAGAATTATGGTGGGGGGAGATGTTGGAGAGGTCTAGGAGAGAGAAACAGTGGTGGGGGAAGGTGGAGCAGCTGAAGGAGATAGCAGACAGGACTGCTGCTATACCTGTAGGTCTGATTTCCATTACTCAGGTCACAGCCATCTCAGGACAGCCTAATGAAAATCATGGCAACCATGTGGACAGTGCGGGCTCAAATGTCAAAGGGCAGATGCTTTGGGCCTCACAAAAATGACTGGGTCTGTTGCAGCTGCTCCTTTTGCCCCCGTGTTAAAGACAGCCCTGGTTGGGGCTTGGGCCTCTCAGGATGCCAGGCCCCCTACATGTGTATGAGCTGTCCCAGCTCACTTACCAGCCAGCCTGCAACAAAACCGAACTGCCCTGTCTAACAGTTCACATTACAAACCAGTTGTTTAGTTTGAACTCATTTGCAAATATATGTGTAAGCTGCAGGGGCCCTGTCACGGCACCCCAGTGTACTGTAGTCCTAACTCTATAATTTTGAGAGTCCTCCAAGTTGGAGCACATATATAGTAGTAATAATAGATAGATTAAGGGCAGGTACTCCTGGAGGAAGCCCACCCCTCCTTAAAAGTATAATTACGCACCGGACACTCAGCAAGCGCACAATGGCAGCCAAGGGTATCCAGAATTGGGCATCCAGTGGAGGGAGGGGTGCACTCCCTCCAGGCATACTTTATTTAATCTGTCCATTACTACTATATATGTTCTCCAACTTGGGAGACTCTCAAAATGATAGGACCACACTGGGGTGCCGTGACATGACCTCTGCGGCTTACGCATTAATTTGCAAATGTGTGCAAACTAAACCCCTTGGTTTTAACGTGAACTGTTAGACAGGTCAATTCAGCAGTCTAGCTGGTAAATGATCTGGGAATTTTTGCTTGTTGTTGTTGACATGCGTTCCCCTTTCATGTGCTCCTTGTTGCAAAGGCCAATTATAGGTTGGGGTGATTGCCATTTGTTTGTACAGTAATGAGGAGGTCAATCTGTAGTTAAGGCCCTGAGGTGTAAACCACAGCAAAAAATGTGGAGGTCAACCTGTGGTTAAGGCCCTGATGTCTTATACCCAGTACTAAATGTTGCAGGCAACCTGTGGTTAAGGCCCTAAGGTCCTAACCACAGCATTAAATGTGGAGGTCAACTTGTGGTTAAGGCCCTGATGTCTTATGCACAGTACTAAATGTGGCGGGCAACCTGTGGTTAAGGCCCTAAGGTCCTAACCACAGCATTAAATGTGGAGGTCAACCTGTGGTTAAGGCCCTGATGTCTTATGCACAGTACTAAATGTGGCGGGCAACCTGTGGTTAAGGCCCTAAGGTCCTAACCACAGCATTAAATGTGGAGGTCAACCTGTGGTTAAGGCCCTGATGTCTTATGCACAGTACTAAATGTGGCGGGCAACCTGTGGTTAAGGCCCTAAGGTCCTAACCACAGCATTAAATATGGAGGTCAATCTGTGGTTAGGGCACTGAGCTGTTAAGCACAGCAGTAAATGTGGAGATCAACCTGTGGTTAAGGCCCTGATATCTTATACACAGTATTAAATGCGGAGGTTATCCTGTGGGTAAGGCCCCAAAGTCTTAACTACAGCACTAAATGTGGAGGTCAACTTGTGGTTAAGGCCCTAAGGTCCTAACCACAGTACTGAATGTGGAGGTAAGCTAGTGGTAAAGCCCATGAGACCTTAATTACATAACTACATGTCGAGGTCAACCCTTGATTAAGGCCTTGAAGTGTTCTGGCCTACTGTCACATACCCGGTGTAGGAGCCTGACACGATGAAGAAGGCCTCTCCTACACCTTTGGATCAGGCCCCTGGTAGAGTGGACAGGAGGCACAGGATCTCAGAGTGGCATGAGTGCCTGTTGATCCTGCTAGCAGCAAAGCCAAGCATGGGGTTTAAGCTGCAGCAGTAGGAAGCCAACAGTGGACCACATTGGAATGAACTGGCTGGGTGATGGCAGGTAAGTAGTAGGCTGGAATATGCAGGTATTAGCTGGTCAGCGAGCAAGCAATGAGCAGGTACTGGCTGGCAGCATACAGGGGATGAGCAGGCACTGGCTGATAGTAGGTAGGTGCCGACCAGGTGTAGGCTGGTCAACGATCAGCGATGAGCAGTTACTGACTGGTAGGTGCTTGGAGCAGATTACTAGGCAGTGGGTAGAGGAACATCAGAGTCAGAGACTGGTATTCGGATCAGGTACAAGTACATAGACAAGATAATGGTCAGGATGGAGGAGTCAGTATTTGAGCAGCAGTACAGTGGCAAAAGCAGAGGTTAGAAAGCAAACTGGAGTCAGTGGAGGCGGAGTTCAATGGATGACCAGGACAAACTGGTTCGGTAACTGGTATCAGATGCAGGTAACAGGTGACAGATCACACGGGAAATGCTGAAGACAAGTCAGCACTGAGTGAGCACTGTCTCCATTTAAATAGCCCGCCTGGTGCCATCATTAGTGACAAATGCACGCGTATGCAGTGGCGTCACTATGGGGGTGAGGTGCTACGGTGACACCATCAAGTAGGTATATTCTGGACTATGAGGTGACAACTCCAGAGGAGGGGTGGTGACCTCTGAGGAGGGAGGACATGAATGGTCAGTTCTCTCTGTTTGCCCCACCTCTCCTCTCTCCATTGCAGAACAAGCCTGGCTCGCTTCTTCCCTGGATGAAGTGACGTCATCACGCGACGTGCACTCCTCGGTTGTCCTAGTAATGGGAGGTTGTTTACTAGCCAGAGCCGGATGTAGTGATGAAGGGAGAGGCGAGAGATCTTCCTGGAGGAAGGGGGATGCAGGGGAATTGTATGCAATGTGAAATTGTGGGGTGTGAGGGACTTAAAATGGAAGGGAGGGGGGCTGCAGGGGAATAATAATTGTGTAGAGGAGGATAATTATAAGAGAAGGGGGGGCTGCAGGTAAAAATTGTGGAGAAGGGTAAATATAATTGAAGAAGGGGCTTCAGGAGAATTATAGTTGAAGGGGGGCTACAGAAGAAGTATAATTAAGGGGGGGGGGGGGGGCTGCAAGGTGCTTTTGAAGGGAGGCTTTTGAAGTGTCGCCTATAGAAAATATAGGATACTGAAGTTTGTAAACTCATGGGCACAATGCAATTTAAGGTTTGACATGTTGGAAATCTATTTTCTCAATACAACCTCAACTTTTATATTTTACCAAAAATTTGGGTAATTGTTTGTGTTGGCTTGCCTTAAAATTTACTGTAGTGTGTTTTTTTAGCGGTAATATCGCGTGTCGTAAAAATGTGGAACTACCACTATTTTATACTCTAAGGTGTCTGTTTTCAGAAATGATGTAATATTTGGGGGTTTTCTCTCTTCAGGACTGAAATGATTTTTTAAACATGTGCAAAAAATGCAAAAACGGCTCTGGCAGCGAACATTTCTTATATAATTCTTGTTAGCTTCCACTTTTTACCTTTTAAAAGGTTACTTGTGTACTTCTGGTTTTTTATGTATTTGAGGACTGAGGCTCCATTCTTAAGCCATGCAATGTCCCCCTTTGAAACCACCCCACACGGCAGAATAATCTTCTTCTCCACTTCTGTTATGATGTTTTTACTGGAATCCACTGGTACACCTGAAAAACAACGTACAGGTCAATGATAAGGATGAGGTTTGGGTTTGTAGCAAATCTAACATTCACAAATCTTGGCCAAAAACATTGCTGGTTGCCCGCCAGGAACAAGGAACTGCCTATAATCCAGTGCTTAGCCTTTACGCTTGGTCAGCTGAGTCGCAAGAGCCAATAATTTGAAGGAATGGGTAATGACATTGGCCACATGGCCAAAATAGGTCAATGATATTAAGCTCATATGGCCATGTGGCCATATTAGATCAATGATGTTGCTAGCCTGAGGGCCCCTTTGTGTACATGCAGTAGCAGGGTGGGGACTGGAAATCCCCTGCCCACAGCTGATTGGCTCGGCACTGACTGCTTCCTTTTGCCAAACATAAGTTAGGACCTAATCCAAGCCCTAACCACAGCTCATCTCTACTTGCTTATTGACCACCACCCCTCTCCACTGACCACCTCCCCTCTCCACTGGTCACCTTCCCTCTCCATGGACCACCAACCATCCCCATGGACCACCTCCCCTCTCCATTGACCACCTCCCCTCTCCATTGACCACCTCCCCTCTCCATTGGCCACCTCCCCTCTCCACTGACCACCACCTCTCTCCATTGGCTACCTCCCCTCTCCATAAGCCACCACTCTTCTCCATTGACCACCACCCATTTCCATGGACCACCACCCATCTCCATGGACCACCTCCTCTCTCCGCTGACCACTTCCCCTCTCCATTGACCACCTCCTCTCTCCATGGACCACCACCCATCTCCACGGACCACCATCCCTCTCCATTGACCACCTCCCCTCTCCATTGACCACCACACCTCTCCATTAACCAACTCCCCTCTCCACTGACCAACTCCCCTTTCCACTGACTAACACCCATCTCCATTGACCACCACCCATCTCCGTTAACCACCACCCCTCTCCATTGACCACCGCTCATCTCCATAGACCACCACCCCTTTGCAATGAATTTAAATGGGTTCACCACAAAGTCTGTGAACTTTGAGCAAGAGTCCGCAAAACTGTTTGTGAGCCAAGCCCAGGCACACTTTTATGGAGTCCAATGCCATAGGCCTTCAATGAAGGCAGGAGCTGGAGGATACTGAAGGATGGTGCCATAGTTCAAACTTTTAAAATTGCCCCAGAAAAAAACAGGATTTAAAGTGTTACTAAACCCACACTAGTAAAATCAGTCTGTATATGCAGTAAAGCATGCTTTAGTATACTCACTGTGGAACTTAAGGGGTTAATCCCTCCCAATGTGTAAAAAAGGCTGTTTGATCCTGTTTTCTCTGCTCCTCCACTTCTGCTGTCCACAATCCATCTGCTGATAGTACAGAGCCCTAGGAGGCACTCTGCCCATGCTCAGTTTAGTGTGTATGCTAGAGAGTGATCAGCACAGGGCTAATCAGCACTGTCCAGACACAGGTTGCTCTTAAGATAAGTGTAGCCCCATCAGTGCCACCTGTCAGTGCCCATCAATGCCACCTGTCAGTTCCCATCAATGCCACATATCAGTGCCCTTCAGAGCTGCCTTTCAGTGCCAACTAACAGTGCCGCCTGTCAGTGCCAGTCTGTGATGCCAATAAGTGCCACCAAGCAGTGCCACCTATCAGTGCCACCTATCAGTGCCGCCTAACAGTTCAATCAGTGCTGCCTAACAGTTCCATTCAGTGTCGCCTATCAGTCACAGTCAGTGCCACCAATCAGTGCCAAATAAGAGTGCTGCCTTTCAGTGATGCCTGTCAATGCCCATCAGTGCCACCTATCAGTGCTTCCTCATCAGTGCTGCCTATCAGTGCAGCCTCATTAGCGCACATCAGTGAAGGAGAAAAATTACTTATTTACAAAATTTTATAACAGAAACTACAAAAAAAACTTCTCTTTTCAGTCTTTTTTAGTTTGGCAAAAAATAACTCCCCCCCCCCCCCCAGTGGTGATTAAATACCAGCAAAAGAAATCTCTGTCTGTCTAAAAAAAAAAAAAGATACAATTTTGTTTGGGTACATTGTTGCATGACCGCACAATTGTCATTCAAAGTGCAACAGTGCTGGAAGCTGAAAATTGGCCTGGGCAGGAAGGGGGTGAAAGTGCCCGGTAGGCAAGTAGTTAAAAACAGCCACAGCTTGAGTACAAAAGCCAATCCCTTGCTAGCATGCTGCAGACTTGCTCCTTGTGTGGAATCAGTGGTCATCTGATTGTCCGGCTATGAGTCAGGCTCAGCGGGGGCTGTAAGACAGGAAGTGAAGGGAAATTCGCAAAAGGGGACATGAGCAGCCAAAAAAAAAAAAGGGGTTTGAATTGTTTCCTCCTTGATCCAACAAAAGATGATACATATATATTTGAAACTCACATTTGTGGAAATACAGGAAGAAGATGATGAGTCTGTGGAACGTCTTCATCTTGGGAATTCCAAGCTTTCTGGGGAAGTCTCCAGCGACTTGAAGAGTCTGCGGACAAGATACAGGATAAGTCAACAGCACCGTCATGGTCCTTATGTAAAGCTGAGCTGGGGGCCGGGGGCCACACCACTGAGATATAAATATGGGAGCGGCTTCATCTACCAAAGGATCTCTATATCTGTCCAGACAGTGCTAGGAATTACACAACTCTCTCAGAAAGCAAGGTCCAAGCTGGCCACTTCACTGCTGTTGAGCAATACATCTGTGTGAGAGCAAAAGAACACTTGTGAACAGGGGCGGACTGACAACTCATGGGGCCCCTGGGCAATAGGGGATCATGGGGCCCCTATGTCCTTGCCCAAACTCAAAAAAGCCTATGAAAAAGGTACCAGGGGCATCTCATGGGGCCCCCTACTGAACCCCGGGCCCTCGGGCAGTGCCCGAATTTCCAAATGTTCAGTCCGCCCCTGCTTGTGAAGTCACCCATTCATTCAATCTATTCTAACCTCCTGGTGGCACGTCCCCTGTCAGCACATTTGCATGCAGCACACTCAATTGGCCCTTAGTGTTAGCCCCTCCCCCCAGTCTACTATGGAGGGAATTGCAAATGCTAATACAAAATCAAATTGAGTTCTTTACTATTACAAATGGCATAAGAAATGCAAATATTCTTCCTTTGCAATGACTATATCATGAACCCCTTGGTGCCGAGCATACACATAGATGCGGCCTCACGCACGTGGGTCATTATTGGTGGGTCCACATATATACGCTGCTCTGTTCCTGCTGAGGGCTCCTGGCACAGACATCGAGCTCTAATCAAGAGGCCTGAGTTCCATCCCGTGCTAATGATAGGGAGCCAGCAGTCGCGATTCCTAATCACCTGATCTCTGTGACAGCCTCTGATTGGCTCTCACAGTGATCAGTCACTCTACAGTCCGCCCCTATAAGTTGTTTTTTCTTCTTGAATGGAGAAAAGATACATTGTATACATACAGGATCCATATACTACATTGTATACATACAGGATCCGTATATAATACATTGTATACATACAGGACCCGTTATTAATACTTGTACATACAGGACCCGTTATATACATACAGGATACAGGACCCGTTATATAATACATTGCATACATACAGGACCCGTTATATAATACATTGTATACACATACAGGACCCGTTATATAATACATTGTACACATACAGGACCCGTTATATAATACATTGTATACATACAGGACCCGTTTATATAATACATTGTATACATACAGGACCGTTATATAATACATTGTATACATACAGGACCCGTTATATAATACATTGTATACATACAGGATCCGTTATATAATACATTGTATACATACAGGACCCGTTATATAATACATTGTATACATACAGGACCCGTTATATAATACATTGTATACATACAGGACCCGTTATATAATACATTGTATACATACAGGACCGTTATATAATACATCGTATACATACAGGACCCGTTATATAATACATTGTATACATACAGGATCCGTTATATAATAAATCGTATACATACAGGACCCGTTATATAATACATCGTATACATACAGGACCCGTTATATAATACATTGTATACATACAGGACCCACGGTTATATAATACATTGTATACATACAGGATCCATTATATAATACATTGTATACATACAGGACCGTTATATAATACATTGTATACATACAGGACATGTTATATAATACATTGTATACATACAGGACCCGTTATATAAATACATTGTATACATACAGGACCCGTTATATAATACATTGTATACATACAGGACCCGTTATATAATACATTGTATACATACAGGATCCGTTATATAATACATTGTATACATACAGGACCCGTTATATAAATACATTGTATACATACAGGATGTATTATATAATAATACATTGTATACATACAGGATCCCGTTATATAATACATTGTATACATACAGGATCCTTTATATATAATACATTGTATACATACAGGACCCCTTATATAATACATTGTATACATACAGGACCCGTTATATAATACATTGTATACATACAGGACCCGTTATATAATACATTGTATACATACAGGACCCGTTATATAATACATTGTATACATACATTGTATACATACAGGATCCGTTATATAATATTGTTATAAAATACATTGTATACATACAGGACCCGTTAAAATATAATACATTGTATACATACAGGATCCGTTATATAATACATATGTATACATACAGGACCCGTTATATAATACATTGTATACATACAGGACCCGTTATATAATACATTGTATACATACAGGACCCGTTATATAATACATTGTATACATACGGGACCCGTATATAATACATTGTATACATACAGGATCAATTATATAATACATTGTATACATACAGGACCCCTTTATATAATACATTGTATACATACAGGACCCGTTATATAATACATTGTATACATACAGGACCCCATTGTATACATACAGGACATGTTATATAATACATTGTATACATACAGGACCCGTTATATAATACATTGTATACATACAGGACCCGTTATATAAATACATTGTATACATACGGGACCCGTTATACATACATTGTAGGATAACAGGATGTTATATAATACATTGTATACATACAGGACCCGTTATATTCATACATTGTATACATACGGGACCCGTTATATAATACATTGTATACATACAGGACCCGTTATATAATACATTGTATACATACAGGACCCGTTATATATCATACATTGTATACATACAGGACATGTTATATAATACATTGTATACATACAGGACCCCCGTTATATAATACATTGTATACATACAGGACATGTTATATAATACATTGTATACATACAGGACCCGTTATATAATACATTGTATACATACAGGACCCGTTATATCATACATTTGTATACATACAGGACCCGTTATATAATACATTGTATACATACAGGACCCGTTATATAATACATTGTATACATACAGGACCCCGTAATATATACAGGACCCGTTATATAATACATTGTATACATACAGGACCCGTTATATAATACATTGTATACATACAGGACCCGTTTATATAATACATTGTATACATACAGGACCGTTATATAATACATTGTATACATACAGGACCCGTTATATAATACATTGTATACATACAGGACATGTTATATAATACATTGGTATACATACAGGACATGTTATATAATACATTGTATACATACAGGACCCGTTATATAATAATTGTATACATACAGGACATGTTATATAATACATGGTATACATACAGGACATGTTATATAATACATGGTATACATACAGGACCCGTTTATATAATACATTGTATACATACAGGACCCGTTATATAATACATTGCATACATACAGGACCCGTTATATAATACATTGTATACATACAGGACCCGTTATATAATACATTGTATACATACAGGACATTATATAATACATTGTATACATACAGGACCATTATATAATACATTGTATACATACAGGATCCGTTATATAATACATTGTATACATACAGGACCCGTTATATAATACATTGTTATACATACAGGACCCGTTATATAATACATTGTATACATACAGGACATGTTATATAATACATTGTATACATACAGGACCCGTTATATAATACATTGTAACATACAGGACCCGTTATAAATAAATACATTGTATACATACAGGACATGTTATATAATACATTTGTATACATACAGGACCCGTTATATAATACATTGTATACATACAGCACACATTATATGTTAAATTTATACATACAAGATACATTATTTAATACGTTATATCGTCTTCGCCATACTAAAAGGAGAAAATTGTAAGCAATGAACATTGTGTGTATAAAAATAAAGATAAAATAGCTAGATCAAGGTTTGATCTCGGTTAGTGTCAAAGATCATGGTCAGAGTCAAATGTCAGGGTCATAGGTCGGGGAAAAAAGAAGAAGAAAAACATTTTTTAATTTCGTATCAATGTCAGTCAGTATTAATGTCAGTCAGTATTAATGACAGTCAGTATCAGTGTCAGTCAGTATCAGTGTCAGTCAGTATTAGTGTCAGTAAGTATCAGTGTCAGTCAGTATTAGTGTCAGTAAGTATCAGTGTCAGTCAGTATTAGTGTCAGTAAGTATCAGTGTCAGTCAGTATCAGTGTCAGTCAGTATCAGTGTCAGTCAGTATTAGTGTCAGTAAGTATCATTGTCAGTCAGTATTAGTGTCAGTCAGTATCAGTGTCAGTCAGTATCAGTCAGTATTAATGTCAGTCAGTATCAGTGTCAGTCAGTATCAGTGTCAGTCAGTATCAATGTCAGTCAGTATTAATGACAGTCAGTATCAGTCAGTATTAATGTCAGTCAGTATCAGTGTCAGTCAGTCAGTATTAATGACAGTCAGTATCAGTGTCAGTCAGTATCAGTGTCAGTCAGTATTAATGTCAGTCAGTATCAGTGTCAGTCAGTATTAATGACAGTCAGTATCAGTGCAGTCAGTATTAATGTCAGTCAGTATCAGTGTCAGTCAGTATTAGTGTCAGTAAGTATCAGTGTCAGTCAGTATTAGTGTCAGTAAGTATCAGTGTCAGTCAGTATTAATGTCAGTCAGTATCAGTGTCAGTCAGTATCAGTCAGTATTAATGTCAGTCAGTATTAATGTCAGTCGGTATCAGTGTCAGTCAGTATTAATGTTGAGTTAGTAGAGGACTAAAAATGTCCGGTGCTTATCTGTTCCTGTCCTAATTTATGACGCTAGCTTTGGAATGTGCGCACATTGGAAGAGACTCATGCTGACACACAAGTTCAGTCTATGAATACTTCTAGTTTATTATAATGAGAAAGTGAACTTATATATGCAGAATGATGCGAGAGTCATGTGAGAACAGCATAAGCATTATATTAGTCTTTGATTGGCCATTTC